CTCCCTCTCCAACCGCTCCTGCTCCTCACGCTCACGCCGACGGGCAGCCTGGAGACGCGTGTCGTGGCGGTGGGGGGGCGGGGTGGACTCCGCAGAACCAGGGTCTCCAGCGTCAGTCTCCTCAGACTCAGCACCCCCAGAACCAGTACCGCCAGTGCTAGGACCTCCAACTCCAGCACCCCCAGAACTAGCACCGCTAGTGCCAGCACCCCCAACTCCAGCACCCCCAGAACCAGCACCTCCAGTGCCGGCACCTCCAGCTCCAGCACCCCCAGAGCTAGCGCCACCTGCGCCAGCACCTCCAGCTCCAGCACCCCCAGAGCTAGCGTCACCTGCGCCAGCACCTCCAGCTCCAGTACCCCGCGACCGAGCACCGCCAGCGGCTGCACCTCCAGCTCCAACACCAACCGAGTCCACAGTAACCTGTCGCGGAAGTGCCGAAGGCTGCTGAGGGGACTGTGAGGAGGACTGCGGGGAGGGAGACGCTACCTGACGCACGACCGAGGGGAGAGGGGTAGCGTGGGACACACCAGACGGGGCAGGACCAGGGGGGGGCGGGGGTACCGGAGGAGCGGGAGCAGGAGGAGGAGAGGGTGCGAGGAAGAGAGGGGGAGGGGGTACCGGGAGACCTCGACAGGGGTACCGGGTGTAGTAGGACACGGACTCGTCAAACCGGACGTCACGGGAATCTAGGAACTGGTGGAGGGGAGGGTGGTAAAAGGACCAGTCAGCAGAGTCCACTGGGAAACCAAGGAAGACACAGGGGACGGCGCGTGCCGAGAGCTTGTCCGCGGAGGTGTCGCGAACAAGTGCAAGGCAGCCCCAGACTCGAAAGGCCGACCCAACACCAGGGGATCCAGTCCAGAGACTGGTCGGTGAAGCCTCGGGCCGCGAGACACGCGGCTGGAGGCTCAGCTGGTGTGCGGCGTAGCGAACCGCGTGAGGCCACAGAAAATGGGGCGCACGGGCATGAATCATGGACGTGCGGGCGATGTCCATGACCAAGCCTATGCGGCGCTCAGCAACCCCATTCTGCTGTGGGGACTCTGGCAGCGTCCAGGACTGGGTGATGCCCTGTTCGCCGCAGAATCCGCCGAGAATGCCGGAGCGAAACTCGCCCCCACGGTCGGAGTGAAGACAACTGACTCGACGACCACGAGTGCCCTCAGTGGCTAGAAGCCACCTGATCAGCGTAGCAGTCACCTCGGACTTCTTCGCAAGAGGAAACACTGTGGTGTACCTGGAGAAGTCGTCGACGACCACCAGAAAGTAGCGCTCCCTCCCAGACCCCTGCGTCGGGGCAGGGCCCCAGACGTCCAAGTGGAGAGTCTCGAAGGGAGCGGTGGCCGGACGAAGGGAGGAGGAGTGGGGAGTGGCACGTAAGCGACCGGCGACGCACGGAGAGCAAGGAGGGGCAAGCGAGGGAGGGAGCGACGGGAAGGTGCGTGGGAGACCTGTGACTAGTCCCTGACTGAGCATGCCACGAAGGCGAGGGATCGACGGGTGGCCAAGATGGTGGTGCCACAGGACGGTGCGGTGGGCGAGAGAGCGACAGGAGCAAGACGCAGCGACTGGACTGGACACAGCGACCGGACTGGACACAGCCACCTGACCGGACTCTGCTACCGGGGGGGACGAAGCAACCTGACCAGACGCAGCTACCTGCGGGGGCGGAGTGTGCAGGACGAAGAGACCTGAGTGGGGCTCTCTGGTGAACGTGGCAAGAACTGCCCCGGTGGAAGAGTCCGTACAGATCGCAGTCCTCCCGTGCGCAGGAAAAGTGACTGTGATCCCCCGGTCCTGAAGGTATCCAACACCCACCAAGTTCCGAGAGAACGAGGGGATGTAGAGACCAGTGAGGAAACCAGAGGGGACAGCCGGGCACGGGAGGGTGGTCGAGCTACGAGCAACTGCTGGTCCTGAAGTAGGATCAGCCAGGGCAACTGGGACTGGAGCCGAAAGAGGTGTGACAGTGGTGTGGTCGCGGAAGAAACACTGAGACGCGCCGGAGTCCAGCGTGAAGGAGAGCGACGCAACAGCAGTCGTCACGGCTGGGCTAGTGACTACACAAGCACCTACACTAAAAGCACAAGTACCGACACTAGCAACAGGCAAAGGTCCTAAGCTAGGTACACGTAAGCCAAGAGATCCGTACGTGACAGAATAAACAGCATCCATAGACATATCAAATACAGGGAAACCACTACGAAACAGACCGGGCCAGATCGGGGGAGCCGACTCAGGCCCAAAACGCTCACGGTAAAGGTCGTCGAGGCGGCTGTAGCAGCGCTGTGCAGAGTGGTCAGGACGCCAGCAGGTAGTGCCAGCACCAGGGCCGGTCAGGATCCGGTACTGGCAGGGGCCGACGTCGCGGCCACCGCGACGAGCCCCCCAGCTGGCTGGGCCGCTGCTGCAGCCAACGCGACCTGAACCACCAGGCCCCCATGGCTGCTGAGGGCGCCACAGCTGCTGAGGGCGCCCCTGCCGCTGCGGAAGCCACTGCTGAAAAGGCCGCTGCTGCTGTCCCTGCTGCTGGAGAACCCTAGCGGACTCCATGATAAAAGCTAGCGGGGTGCAGGAGCGGCAGGCTAGGAGCGACAGGAGCGACAGGCTGCTGTGAAAAACGAGAACAACTAGGAGCGCAAGGTGAAACCAGGCGAGTAACTGCTGGAGCACGGAGCGAACTAAGCTAGGAGCGCCAGGTGAAACCAGGCGAGTAACTGCTGGAGCACGGAGCGAACTAAGCTAGGAGCGCCAGGTGAAACTAGGCGAGGAACGGCCGGAGCACGGAGCAAACTGAGCTACGAGCGAGGAGCGAGAACGGCTGGAGCGAGAACGGCTGGAGCTAGAAGTGGCGAGCTAGGGCTGGCTGGAGGTAGGAACGGCCGGGGCTAGAGACCGTAAGTGCGGCTGTCGGCTGCCGCTAGTAGAGCCACTGGCAGTGGAAAGTACGTGCGACAGTAGGGGCTGCAGTACTGACGGCTGCGGGATGTAGGCAACTGTGCAGGTCGTCCGGCAAGCAGGAACGCGGGCGACAGTCGCAGGCCCCCACTGTGAACCCCCTTTTTTTTTTTTTTTTTTTTTTTTTAGGGTTTAATTTATTTATTTATTTTCTGGCACTAAAGCACCCCGGGGCGCGCTGCCTGCAGGGTGTGCTGCCTGCGGGGCGCGCTACCCGCGGGGCGCGCCTCCTGCGGGGCGCGCTACCCGCGGGGCGCGCTACCCGCGTGGCGCGCTGCATGCGGGGCTGGGGTGACGAGCCAGGGAGGGCGCCTGGGCGACGGGCTAGGACGGGCGCCTGGGCGACGGGCTAGGACGGGCGCCTGGGCGACGGGCTAGGGCGCAGGCCTGGGCGACGGGCTAGGACGGGCGCCTGGGCGACGGGCTAGGGCGCAGGCCTGGGCGACGGGCTAGGGCGCAGGCCTGGGCGACGGGCTAGGGCGGGCGCCTGGGCGACGGGCTAGGGTGGGCGCCTGGGCGACGGGCTGGGTCGGGCGCCTGGGGGACGGGCTGGGGTGGGCGCCTGGGCGACGGGCTAGGGCGGGCGCCTGGGCGACGGGCTAGGGCGGGCGCCTGGGCGACGGGCTGGGGCGGGCGCCTGGGCGACGGGCTGGGGTGGGCGCCTGGGCGACGGGCTAGGGCGGGCGCCTGGGCGACGGGCTAGGGCGGGCGCCTGGGCGACGGGCTAGGGCGGGCGCCTGGGCGACGGGCTAGGGTGGGCGCCTGGGCGACGGGCTAGGGCGGGCGCCTGGGCGACGGGCTAGGGCGTGGGCCTGGGCGACGGGCTAGGGGCGCAGGCTAGGGGCGCGGAGGGCGCTAACGCGCGGAGGAGGAGGGCGCTAAGGCGCGGAAATGGCGCGGAGGGCGCGGTGGCTAAGGCGCGGAGGGCGCGGAGGGCGCGGAGGGCGTGGAGGGTGCTAGGGCGCAAGGGCGCGGAGGGCGCGGAGGGCGCAGAGTGTGCTAGGGCGCAAGGGCGCGGAGGGCGCTAGGGCGCGAGCTAGGCTAGGCTAGGCGAGAGGATCGACACCTACTCATGATACCATCTCAAAGTTAGCGAACAACGGAATGATTGGAATAGAAACGAATGGGGTACAAATGAGCAACCCTAGAAGCTGTACCCCCTAGAGTGCAACTCATTATAGCCTATCATATCAATGTTCAACATTTGACATTCCCTGCCAGGCCGATCTTGTGTGTTGCGTGTGTTGCGTGTGTTGCTTGTGTTGCGCGGGTTGCATCCTCTGACAGAACAGTGTTTTTAGTGGCGGATGTGTACAAAACGTGGCAACAGAGGGAGAAACACGACGGGATAGCATGCACCTGAGAAGCTTTTCCCGACTAAGTTGTATGCAACTGAAAATGGCCGAACAATTTTAGTTGGAAAGGGGCAAAATGGGTGGTGTAGCTATCATTCCTGGAATGACCATCTGACGTGGTCTCACACATGACGTGTCATGTCAACGCTGCCACGACGGTCGTGGATCTTGGCAACGTCGTGGCGGAAGTAAACCATGCCACATTGGTAGACCCTCCCGATTTTCTGTTCACTTTGGTGACTGACGGGGCCTGCCAGCACAGCGCCAGCATTTTCTGGCTTCGATTCAGCGTCAGGTTCTTTCCATGAGAAGTTCCCATGATGGACAGTCGCGAGGGGCATATGCAAGCCAGCCATGGTTCAGTATTTTCACGAGATTTTTAACGGTTACGCTTATAGAGCACCTCGTCGCAGATTGGCTACAGTCACGCCACCTTAGTCTGGCTGTTGACATACGCGACGAACAAAGTGACGGAATGAAACCGATTGTTGAGATCATATTGTAAATGCGCACGCTTTTCCTGCTCTTCAGAGCAGCCATCGCATCGACTTCACCTTCAATACAGACTCTCAATTCAGTTTCTCGAGCTTGGAGTAAGCAGCCTTCACTATCTGCCTTACTGCATCTGCTTGTCGTTCGCAGTTCCGTTGCGTTTTCGAGTTAATCTTCTCCTCTCACAGCGCAATGGCGACCGTCGCTGCTCCGTCCACCAGCCTTCGCTGCTCCGTGCTGTCCTCGCAGGGCAAGGCCGTCGCTGGCCGGCAGCTCGCTGTAGTCTCTGCGAGGCCAACAGCAGCATTTTCAAAGAAAGCAGCACTTGTCGCGAGTAAGTAGACAATGTTACACATTTGTTTTCGCGAGTGAACATTCGCGCGAGTGAGTAGACATTTCTGCGGGTACATATACATTCTGGTGTCCATGGATAAGTTTCCGCGAGGTAGTAGGTGCATTTGCCGAGAAGACACTGCGAGACATATTATTTGCCATTTCCATTACTTACAAATTAGTTCACGGTGAACGCAAAGCCTTATCGCGTAGAGCTTAGTTGTATGCCAGGTTGACGGTTGACGAGGGCCATCGTGATGTTCCCGTGTGATGACACCACGCGACGCGTACCTCGTATCACTGCGTCTGTCATCTCGCCGTTTCGTGCTCTTTCGCACTCGCTGTGTTACACGATAACATGATACATGGTGTGTCAGACATCTACGGTGCTTCAGACATCTACGCTGTGACATTACATGGTGATATTGTACGGTGTTAGAGAAGGTGCAAGACGGTGGCTTCACCAACAAATGACAGGGTTTTTTCAACCATGATACCTGATGCGCTGGTACCCACAAGCTGTTTTTTCGAACGTTAATCACCGGTTCGCCTGGTCGTATGGAGCAACGACCAAAATGTTCCTCCGAGGGCCACACAATTTTTGCACGCCCTCTTTCCAGATATGAACGGTTGAATTTCCCGCAAACATAAAACATCCCTCTCTCCCCACTCCCTCGCGTAAATGCTACCGTTCCCCGTCCGTTCACCCCGCTTTCCCCCCCTTCCGTTCATCCCCCTGTCCCCCCCTTCGTCCCCCCACTTTTCCCCCCCTCCGTTCCCTTCCTTCCCAGGTCTGCTCATCCCCCCTCCACATTTCCCCTTTCTCCTCACCCCCTCCCCCTCTTCCCGCCCCCGTTTCGTCCTCCCAGGAGCCTCGGCGGAGGAGAAGCCATCGCTAGCAGCGTCCATCGCCACGGCGGCAGCCACCGCCATCTGCGGCGCACATGAGACCAGCAAACGTCCCCCAACGTCCCCCCCCCCCCCCCCCCCCCCCCCCCCCCTTCTCTCTCGTCCTCCTCTCGTCCTCCTCTCGTCCTCCTCTCGTCCTCCCAGGGGCCTCGGCGGAGGAGAAGCCATCGCTAGCAGCGTCCATCGCCACGGCGGCAGCCACCGCCATCTGCGGCGCGTGTGTCGCTGTCTCGCTCGCTACTGCCGCTCCCGCCCTCGCCGCTCCCTCGCCCAGCCAGGTGAGGCTCGGAACAACCACGTGAGGGTCGGAACAGCCAGGTGAGGCTCGGAACAGCCAGGTGAGGCTCGGAACAGCCAGGTGAGGCTCGGAACAGCCAGGTGAGGCTCGGAACAGCCAGGTGAGGCTCGGAACAGCCAGGTGAGGCTCGGAACAGCCAGGTGAGGCTCGGAACAGCCAGGTGAGGCTCGGAACAGCCAGGTGAGGCTCGGAACAGCCAAGTGAGGCTCGGAACAGCCCGTTGAGGCTCGGAACAGCCCGGTGAGGCTCGGAACATCCAGGTGAGGCCTGGAACAGTGAAAGTAAGCCGTGAGATCGTCGCATTCACGTGACTGGCTATCTGCAGCACCTTTGTAGCTTTCCATCTTTTTTCTTCAGGAGCAAGAAAGACCCAGCGCCCGCTCCGGCCGCTCCTGCCGTTGTGTTGGAGCATTGTGAGTCTTGATGTTGAGACACCAAGAGTCGATGATCAGCCTGGACTGGATGATAGCGTACTAAGCTTACAACGCCCAGCAATACTGGAAAAGCTCCAAGGAATAAGAACCCCCTCTCCTTCCCCCACCCTTCTCCCCTCCCAACCTCCCCCCTCCGCTCCCCCCAATACCCCAGGTGCGCCTTCCCCCTTGTCCAACGACCCGGCCCACTGTGAGCGCGCGTTTGTGGACAACACGATCGGGCAGGCGAACGGCGTGTCGGACAAGTGCTGGACCTGCGGCAGTGCGACTTCTCGGGGGACAAGGAGAACCCACATCCTTCTCCTCTCCCCAATCCTCCTTCCCATTCTCCCATCTCCTTCCTTCCCCATTCCCTCCCCAACCTCCCCCCCCCTTCCCCACCCCACCCTCCTCCCCTCTCCCCCTCCCCCCAACCTTCCCTCTCCGCACTCCCCACTGCAGGTGCGCCTGCCGCCCCTCTCCAACGACCCGGCCCGCTGTGAGCGTGTGTTTGTGGGCAACACGATCGGGCAGGCGAACGGCGTGTCGGACAAGGTGCTGGACCTGCGGCAGTGCGACTTCTCGCTCTAACACTCCCCCCACCACCTTTCCCTTCTCCATTCCCACCACCCGTCTCCCCTCCTCTCCTCCCCCGCACCCCTCCCTCCCCCCCCAACCTTCCCCCTCCGGCCCCCCTGTACCTCAGGTGCGCCTGCCCCCTCTCTCCAACGACCCGGCCCGCTGTGAGCGCGCGTTTGTGGGCAACACGATCGGGCAGGCGAACGGCGTGTCGGATAAGGTGCTGGACCTAAGGCAGTGCGACTTCTCAGGGGACAAGGAGAACCTCAAGGGCAAGACGCTGTCGTCCGCTCTCATGTCGGGCGCCAACTTCGACAACGCTGACCTCACTGAGACCGTCATGTCCAAGGCTTATGCTGTTGGGGCCAGCTTCCGAGGTGAGAAACGTTCAGGGCACCTGTTGGGATAGATCGGGTTTTTTTTTTTTTTTTTTTTTTTTTTTTTTGAGGAGCTTAAGAATTCCCGATGCAATCAAGGACTCTACGAGGCATTGGAACGCATGCACTTAAGCCTTCATAGTATGCTCATGCTACCCGTGTCTCAAGCTCTTCTCTGCTCATCACTTCCCCATTGGAGTTCACAATCCCTTTCCATTTCTCTCACTATTCAGCCTCGCACACTTTTCCTTTCTTCCTTCCATCCTCCCATCGAGTATCGCCTTCCCCAACCCAGTGCTGGTTCGTATCCTCTTCCTCAAAGCATATCTTAACACGCGCAGCAATGCACCCTATTCATTCCTCACACGCCCTCCTCTCCTCACCTTCTCTCATTCAGGTGCGGACTTCTCCAACTCGGTGCTTGATCGGGTGCTCTTCAACGGAGCCGATCTGACGGGCGCGTCGTTCCGCAACGCGGTGCTCTCAGCGTCCACATTCAACAACGCCATCCTCACCGACACAATCTTTGAGGACGCGCTCATTGGCTACGTCGACGTGCAGAAGCTCTGCCGTAACCAGACGATCGGCGAGTTCACGCGTCTTGAGCTGGGTTGCAAGTAGATGCTTTATCTACCACCATTCAAGGGTTTTTTTTTCCTTTGTGTGAAATATGTACGTGTTATTTTACAAGATGTTATTGTGAATATTCAAGTTGCCAAACACATACCCGTATTATTCCGGCTATAGGACCCCCCGGTAAAAGGGTCCCCGGGACTCTCTATGGGGTACTGGGACTATTTTGGTACTGAAATGTGAGGACCCCCCTTTTGCCCCTAAACATTATAAGACCCCCCCTTTTATATACAGTTGTTGTAAATGCAATTGCGCGTCAGCTTTTGTAGGCAAAATATCGAATTATGACACGCTGCATGTGTCAGATTCGGATTCTGACACGTTTTTGTGTGTCAGACGCGAATTCTGACACAAATCTGACGCGCCGCTCGCGTGAATACGGTAGTACGGTATGAGGCAGCCAGCCTAAGCTAAAGGATCTAAAGGTTTCGTTGTGTGTGTGAGTGTGCTACATATCACCAAATTTCTAATGCCAAAGCAACTGGAGAGGGTGTCAAATTCTCCACTGACTCTTCATCAAAGGTGGCCCTCCCTAATCCATTAGAAAGGGGCTGTCAGTCAGAACAGGCTTTAGTAAGCAACTAAACCCTGGAAATCATTGGTGATACACTATATTTCTATAAGTGATTACCATTAACAATGTCTGGTTTCGATCGAAGGCCTTTGTTCCACATGATTGCTTTCATCAACGCACATGATAACTGCGTTGCCCATGGGCCACGGCATAGCAAGACTAGGCCAGTGCATTGAAAGCAGCAACATACGGTATTATCAATTACAAACGACAGATACAGCAAGGCTACTCTCATACGGTACCCAAACGCTTTCATTCCCTGTACACCCTCACCATGCCCTCTCAACTACCCACTGTCTCAACGCCTAAAGAGCATAGTAAAGGTTCTCTTGCTGCCCGCTCACTGTCAGAGTAAAGGTTGCCGCCAAGTTATCCCCCGACATGGTAGCCCCCACCAGCGCAGCCATATATTTCTGCAGTCCCAGAACGCCGGGCGTGCTAGCGGTTCCCGTGGGGATTTTCACGTCGACAGTCTTGTAGCAAGTGAACACGCCCTTGATTTCCGATGTGAAGGGGCATGCTAGTGCGAGAGGGGAAGACTTGTCAGCGCCGACTTGACCCACCAGGGAGACCTTTGAGTTGGTGTTCACGCCCTTGGTGAAGGCCAGTTGGACCTCCAAAGTGACCTTGGTGTCGCTGCAAGCCATGACAGTGCAAAGACAAAGTGCAATGACAAAGTTATACAATAGAACACCTTATCCAAGAGTGGGGATATGTAGTGACGCTCTGATGGGATGATCTTCAACTCTTTGATTTACCTGCTTTCATCTGAATTCTCACTCCCTCAAGTGGCCCCTCCTCCTGGCTTCGCTTAGTCTAACCGCCTTTATGCCCATGGGAGAAGCTAAAAAATGAAGGACTCAAGTGCTCGTGGCGATGCGGATTTTGGCTCCCCCCGCCACGGCGCCAGAGAACATGGCTTGGAATCGGCCGCGTGCCATGGATGGCAGCACGGCGCGGGCTGTTTCAAGGGAGGGGTGCAATGGGAGGGACGCATGGGAGGAATGCAAAGGAGGCGTGCATCAGGGGGGGTGCAACAGGAGGGATGCAACACTGAGGCCGACTCATGGCAGAGAATAAGTCGCATTGTCAGATTCGTGGCAACGACTAGATTGTGTCTTTCGGATTCACAACGAAAGCATCCGTACCAGTATCAACAGCACCAGTCGTAGCCAGCGATCCCGACGCCACCAGCGAGTCGCCGTTCACTCCCGCGTGCGCTGCCTTGGCCCCAACGCCCGTCAAGTCGCTCCCTAGAGCAGCGGAAGACCAGTCGAGGCTCTGGGTCATATCCCACACTCCCGGCGCCACCAGCTTCCACTGACTGGCGTCCGACGCCAAGGACGTGCCATCGAGTGAGACGTCCGTTGGCGGGTCGGCGCTTCCCGCCATGATCACGCGGAGAACAACCGGAAATGTAATTGTGCTGCGGTGATTGGGGCGAGAGGGATCGGTAGGAGGAAAAGGAGGAGTTAGCAGCAACATCGCTTTTATCAGCAACAGCCGGGTGAAATGGGAGAATGCGACACGCGCTAGACCGAGAGAGTTCGGGAAAATTCGTGGAACCGAGGAAAGCAACACATCATGATGCTGACGATACGGGAAAAAACGGACTTACTCGGCTGGCATTCGCACGATCACGCTCCCCTGCGATTCGAGCGACGTCACCGGAGCACTGTAGAAGGCTGCAAAGGATCGGAGTGGGAGCGAGAAAACGAGGCGCTGAGCTCTGATGATCAGCGCGACGTGAGGTGAACGTGGCATAGAAGTTCAAGGGGATTGGGAGCAAGCAACAGCTCATGGTTTTGAGCCGAGTGAATGGGTGTTCCGGTGAGTGAATATTCGTGAAATCAAGCAACAGGCCATGCTGTCGTTCTCGGTTCAAGGTTGGTCCCGCCAAACTAGTATCAAGGCTACAACTGTTACACCTTGTAGTAATCGCCGTACTTGAAAATGGCTTAGAGCGCTGACGCGTATGGGCTTACTTGGCTGCGGGGGATTTGACGGGAAGAATTTCTTCATATCCGAGTCCTTGACCTCGAACGCCGCTGAAGTCATGGTGACAGGCGCCGCGCAGAAGAGAACCACGAGGCCTGCGCAACCATGGCGATCATAAAGGGTCACACATGTCATTGCGGTAAGTTTTTTAGCGGAGCCCTAAAGTTACGAGTACTTATGCGAGGAAATGACTAAAGCAAGTTGAATGGGCTGTCGAGGTCTCCGCCTCGGGATTCGTACATGGAAGGCACATGAGGCTGGAAACGAGCCATTGCGAAAGGCCGAGGCGGGCCATAACGATGCGCTTCAAGTTAAATGCCGCGAGGTGGCGGTGAAGGTTGCAGGAAGTAGAAAACTGGTATTGAACGAGAATGAGTAAAAGGGCAGGGGGAGTTGCTTGCTGGTCGAGAGGTGGAATGCGAGGTGTGAAGTGAATGCTCTGAAAATACGATGGAGTTATGTACTGTGGGTCGTGACCTGTCGTCAGTTTGGGAGGGAATGGAGTTCTGTCTTGTGGGCAGCTTGGTTGTAGAAAACGCAGAGGCTTTCAGAGGACTTATGTACGGTGGATAGGGTTTACGGTGGATACTCATGAGAGGAGAGTGGGGCGATGGGATTGGACGCAGTTCTTGAGATTACAAGCACTGCATTAGGTGCTTGGGTGGCGGAGATGTCGTGGATAATCGAGTACTGACTGGTTCGACTGTGGTCACGGAAGTCACAACATTCGGGCTCACTCGAATTATTGTCAGCTCTGCCTAGCCATCGTTGGGCAGCAATGATGCAGTTTCCGTTTGTTTTGCGTGGCAGAATATATGAGCGCGTTACCACCTGCGTTATTTCTATTGCGAACATCTATTTCAGAGTTCGCAGAGCTGTTCATACTCCACGAAACTCACGAAGTTGTCGTTTCGCCAAGCTGGCGAGACACACACGAAACGAACATCTCCCCCCCCCACAAGTAGCCGTTGACGGAGCCTGACGTAATGACTGTCAGAAGGAGAATCAGACTTATTGGTGGCCGATTTCCGTCGGGTTTATTGTTCTTCCCCTCCTCTCCTCAGCTTACCACCCACTCGAACAGCTTCAGTTCCCAGCGTATAGGCCTGACCGATTTCCTATCGACTAGGTTATACTGGAGCAGCTGAATCGCGAACGTCGCCTATCGATTGGTTTGAAGCGCGAGCTGCTTCTTTCCTTGAATCACGGAACGCACGCTGCCTCTACTATTTTCTTTTTTTATGGAACGGGAACAGGTGCATTATCGTTGGACCCCTGGCCGAATGGCTGACGAGGCGAGTTACGCCAACATTGCATTATTATGCGACCTCAGCCCGGGCTCCGCGCTTACCTCACACAGAGAAGCTCCGCGCGCCGCGTTCGCTTCCACCCTTCGACTCAAGCCTTCGCATCCTCAGATCGTTTATTATCACCACCAGAGCCACATCACTTCCCCACCATCAGCCATTTCCTCCCTAATCATCTCCTTACCAAGAGCTCCTTCTTCTTCTTGAGACCGCAAATTCCTTCGGAACCGCGTGTTTCTTTCATATCAGTGGTATCGCTGTTTAGGGTTTCCCAGCGACAAACTTCAGAAGCACCGCGATGGATCTCCACCGTGTTATCACGTGCCTCGTCATCATTGCCGGTATGTTCCGGTTACTTTTTCTAACCGAAAATTTTCCATATGTTACTAAGACGTGTGTTGTCTGGTAAGATGCGGCCTTCTTCTCACGTGCCTCCTCCTCATTGCCGATACGACTTCTCGTAAGCCCATGCCTCCTTTCTCAATCGGTGAACTGATATACACGCTTCATACATTTCATTTCTTCCCGATACTAGACATTTATAACTACGTCGTATGTAGCTTCTTTAGATCTGATGGCCTCGATTTGCTCCTGTGCTTTGCTACAGGCGTGCTGGTCTCCTCGGCCGTTCCCAGAGCAGAGGCGATAAGCGATGCGGACAAGCAGCGCGCCGTGAAAGCGGGCCTCGCGTTCGTCAAGGCCGTCCTCGCCATGCTCTTCCCGCCGCCCACGCCTGCCGCCAGTCAGTGCCTCCCTCACCCTCCCCTATCCGCCTATCTTGGTGCTTCGCTCTGCATCCTGCTCGCTAAACGTGTACTCGCTTCGCTGGAAAGTCCCGAATCTAAATTCAATGTGATGAAATCTGCGTCGCGCTTGTGTGACGAAGTGGCATTGTAATCCGTGTCGCGAAGTGGCTCTTCCTCATCCCACCGTCCCTCATCATCCTCTCGCCTCCTCCGTTTCTCCTTATCGCGTGCATCCCCGCCAATGCAGAGTTCTACAAAGCGGACTTCTCGGATACGAACGTGGCAGGAACGTTCAGCATCGCTGTCCCCTCCAAGTAAGAAATTTGCAGCTGAATTGGCAGTCGGGATCCGTAATCAGGATTCGGAGCTAGAGTTTTCGTGGTCTGACTTGGGGTGAGGGTTTTCGCGGTGTGCGCATAGCATACATCCGCAAGCAGCAATATGTGTGTGCGTGCGAGGGCTGTCCCTGTGTGCGAGCAGGTGCGGCGATGTGACAATGCATTCCCCGTAGGACGGTCTTCCTCGCCCTCCGTCCCCTCCCCCCCCACCCACCCCTCCTCACCCCTTTCCCTCCCTCATTGCTTCTGCCGTCATTGCTCCTGCCTGTTGCCTGCTCATGTTGGGTTGAAAACCTTGCTCCTTTAGTTGCCTACCATTCACTCACCTGAACCACGTGCCCTGTGCTGCGCAGTCCTCAAGGTTCGTTCCCCCAACCTTCCCCAAACCTTGCCAGGTCCCTAACCAAGCCGACTCAGTTCCGCCTGACCACGGCAGGCTCGGCCAATCCGCCGATGGAAGTGACTCTGAACGCGAAAACTCCCGTTGTCTTGGGCGCCCTCGGAAAGAACATGCAGTGCTCGCAAGTCGCGCCGAGCGTGTGGGACTGCTTCGGCCAGACCAAAATGACCCAAGCTGACATCAATAATATTGGATTCACGGCTGGCGTGGGGGTTCGCGTTGACTCGCACGACCTGAGTCTCACCTATCCTGATGCATGCAGCCAGGCTCTGGATGCCACCTCGAAGCTCGCAAAGGCGCCATCGACTTCGAAAATGGCGCAAGTCTTTGGTACGTTTCTTGGACCCGCCTGGTTACACCCACCGGTTACCCTGTTTCAGAATCTGTATATTTTTTTGCTGTAGAGAGGTCAGGTCCTCTGCTTCTTACTTGTGGACCTCATATTGCCCAGTTCAACTCTTTGCTCTTGTGAAACGAAATGGGTTCACAACACGAGTGACTAACGAACCCTTCTATACTTGATTCTGCTGCAGGTAGCAACGATTTGCTGTTTGGGGTTCCTGCCGGAAGGTTCCAGGCAATGATCACCGGGGACGAGATCAAAGGAGGCGCAATGTTTTCTGTCTCCAACCTGTAAGTCCCTGCTGTAACTGCACTGCTTGTTTTTTACTGCTAGTATAGAGAAATAAACGTACTGTTCTATAGTGTTCTATAAAGTCTTTTATATCTATCAGGTACATTAATGGGTCTACCCATCACACGGAGCTCACTCAACCCTATTGTCCCCCTTCTCCCTCCCTCCTCCCTCCTTCTCCCACCTCCCTCCCACCTCCTCCCCTGCAGAAACCGCAAGTGCACCATCGACTACAGCATCGTGCTCATGTCCCCACAAGCCCTCACGCCAGAAGCAACGCTCTCCGTCGTCGACCCAACCACCCAGGAATCAATCATTATTCCTATTGGCTGCAAGTGGGCCCAGCCCAGGCCCGGCGTGCACGTGTGCGAGGCCAAGGGCGATTTCACCACCACCATTGACACCACCTTCTCAACCACTTCTCTCACCGCTGCGGCCGCGGCTCGGAGTGCGGCTGCCAGCATGAGCGCAGCAGCCCTGCCAGGGTCGGCGGTGGACCTGGTGTTCAAGGTGACGGTGGCATCGGGCATGCTGCCAGAGTCTGATGGTGCGCTGCGCTACTCGCTGTGAAAGTCCACACCTCAAGGGTTGACTTTTGAGTCGACTTAGATGTCGACCGGGCTCAGCGGTGGACCTGGTGTTCAAGGTGACGGTGGCCTCGGGCATGCTGCCAGAGTCTGATGGCGCGCTGCGCTACTCGCTGTGAAAGGCACACCCATCAAAGGTTTACTGACTCCTTAGGGCAGTCAATAGGCTCCTCACAGGGTGGTGCTTTGCGGGGGTACATTTGAGGTGGCCCAGAAATATCTCTTCCTCTGTTTCTCACAGGTTGGAGATTATACTCGCTGTTAGCACTCGCACAAAGCTGTGTCAGTGGCAGTGAATAAGTGTGGGGTGCTTATTGCGCCCTCCTCTCTGGAAGTGGCCTGCACTGCACTGTCATGGTTCCCCTGATTTCCTGCTCTTTGACTCTCTCCCTCTATCCTTCCTGCTTCCGTCCTCCCACTCTCCCTCATGCTCTCCCTCCCGCTCTCCCTCTTGCTCTCCCCCTTGAGCGCCCCCGCTTGCTGATTTTGTGCTCCTGCACTGTTGCTACAAAGGGTGTGGCATCGGTGTTGGCTAGATTTTGGCTACCGGTATGTGCATTCCCAGTGTTGTAAAAAGCCCTTTAAATAATACCGTATTCTTCCGGCTATAGGACCCGGGGGACTCTCTACAAAAGCAAAGAAAATACTTAGGGTGAACATATAGGTGGCATGCAGTTTTTTAAAGCCCGTAGGCAAAATAGTGACCCCCCCCCCCTTCTAGTTGGGTCCACTTGGATTCTCTAGCTGTCTTTGTTGTGTTTTGAAAAGTTGGATTGGAAGTGTTCTGTTTTTTTTTTTTGCCTGCGTCCCTGATACAACTCGAGCAGGCCTTTTTTTATCAGTGTAAATCACTCTGTTTCTCTGAAAATCAGGGTGGTTTTTGCAAGGTCACTCTGTACCTCTGGGTAAAATTTTTGAGAGTTATGTTTTCTCTGATTTGTCAGAGTAGTCTTGTTAGGCCCTCTGATGTCCCAGTGTTTCTTCTACGGATACCGATTTTACTCTGTGCAGAGGATACGGTACATGTATCGCCGAACATCCGTTCCCCCCCTTATCCCCACGTTACCGGTTTTTACCCGAACCGCACCGGAAATCCCTCTGGTTTCCGCGTGTGTTGGCAGCAGCTTGTACGGTGATTGGCTGGTAGGGCATCTTTCAGGCCAGCGCACGCTGTGAGCCGCCCACCGTAGACTTAGCTGGATTTTTGAAAACCGACCACGATGTACACGACCCAACCTTACAGGCAGCATTCAGCAGGTTCGTCTGCGGCCCAACTTTCGGGTGCGGCGCGCAGGGAAAGGTCTGTTGCTCGGCTGGCTGACGGGGCCCACATTCTTTCCCATTATCTCCCCTTCCATTGACGAGCACTCCATCGCACCAGTGGTGCTTGTTCTCAGTGGGGTTTCAAGCCACAGCCCCGCGCACCATGGATACTGACGCCGATGCAGACGTGGCTGATCCGGATGATAGGCCATCGTGTAGCAGTCGTCCAGTGACTGGGCTTCAATTTCTCCGTAGTGTGCATCAGGCGCACATGCGCGACGATGACGAGGACGGTGACGGCGGTACAGAATGGGTGCGACGCCCTCGCCCGGAAGGTGGCGAAGCGGTTGACGGTATCGACTTTTGGTGTCGCTCGCCACACGGGGAGCCTGAGGCTGCAGATTCCGACGGCATTGAGGAATGGGTCGCATCGCCGCGTACGGAGGAACCTGCTGAACCGGCCGCGACGGTTCCAACCCAAGTCATTGATGTCGCCACTCCGGAGTCGACGGGATCAATGGCCCCGAAAAAACGACGAATGACGCAGCAAGTGCTGCAGTGGGGAACCCCGCCGCCGAAACCCCCCGCTCCGCCTCCCGCCTCTGTACCACCCCCCATTCCTCCCCTTTCAGACGTGGAGAAGAGAGAGAAGGCTTACCTGAAAGCCCAGAAGAATTACACCTCGGAATGGCTGCTGAGGTTTGATTGGCTGATTCTTGACGAGACCCCCGAAGGTGAGCAGTGTCTGCGTTGTAGTGTGTGCATGGAGCACGGGAAGGATAACGCACGATACGGCCGAAATGGCGCCGGCGGACGTGATCTGCAGCTTGGCTCCATGCGATGGCACGAGAACAGCATGAAGCATGATGACGCGATGAAGAAGCAGGCGAATTTGATGAAGAAAATCACAGATCAGAAGAAAATCGCCGACTTCGCGAATGGCGATCCCGAAGGCTCTCGCGTCGCGCGCCTTATGCGGGCCATTCGTTTTGTGTGCCGCACCGACACGCCCATCCACATGTTTCCCCAGATCGTCCATTTCCTTGCGGAGGAGGGTGTCGCCGACATCCCGCGTCAGACCTACGGCGTATACATCACTCAGTGAGTTCACCATGTGAAGTATTTAATAAAAATTGACGGCGTGATGTCAATTATCCTAATACGTTTTCCTTTTTTGTTGGAAACTTGTGTCAGGTACGGTTTCGCGGAAATGGTCAGAGCTCTGACCACGCACCTGAGCAGAGAACAGCTCTGACACCTGCACGCCTCTCCCTTCATCGGCATAATGTGCGACGAGAGTACCGACCGCGCGCGTGGCAAACACATTTGCCACTTTCCTGAAGAACCGGGTGGTCGTCACCGAGTTTCTCGCGTTACTGACTGTCGAGCAGTGTGATGCTGCCTCGCTGCTCGGAGTTCTACTGCAGCATCTCGAGAGCATTGGTGTCGAGTTACGGAAGATCGCGGGGATTTCCACTGACGGCGCAGCTGTGATGATCGGTGGCACGTCCGGCCTTGTGACGAGACTGCGGCTGCGCATCCCCCATCTGGTCGGGGTTCACTGCATTGCGCATCGGTACGTAAGTTTAAATATAATTTCATGTTCGTCAAATTTCAGCGGCGTTTATCACACTGTTTGTTATAACCTACTGACACGTGTCTCGTCTACTTACTCGTGCAGTGAAGCTCTGGCTGTCAAGGAATCGGCGAAGAAATTCCCAGACTTGGCGATCGTGGATAAGTCGATCAGGGCGGTTGGCGAGATCGTGGGAAAATCCACTCCCTGGCACGAGAGGTTCAAGGAGCTGCAACAAGGAGTTACTCGAGTCTTCGCATTCTGGTGACATAGAAATCGTTGCATGCACGGGCAATTGAGTCGCAAGGCTTAGGGTGCATTCGTATCCCGTGTCAGGCACGGAGTTGGAGGTTCGGAAGACACAAAGTGACTCGGTTTGTGTATTCCGAACTTAAATTTGCCTGAATAATGAGCCACTTCGTGTCTTCCGAGCATCCACTTCGTCTCAGACCTCATGTCTGACACGGGCTACGAATGCACCCTTATGCAAGCAATTCTCACTCAACCTGGTTGTCAAAATTCACTTCGAGTAGGAACCGTTCATGACAGAAGAACCGCTCTAGGCATGGGCCTGGGAACGCGGCAAAAACACGAAGAGAAACAAGAGGGAAAAAACAGAGGTGGTGTTCGACAGGCAGCCAAGCCCTTCCGCGGAACAAGGAGAGAGGTTTCGTAATTGGGTTTTTTTGGCTGGTCAGCCCAGAAATTATCACCGAAGCTAGCAAACACTCCCGAACCAGCCAAACACTCCAATGCCTGTCGAACGCTACTTCAACCCTTCGGGTTTATCCCCACCGAAACCTCCAACGCCCTTCTCACACGCCTAGGGATGAGCCTAGCTCCAGCCCAGCCCTCGCATCCCCAAAATGGAGGTTGGCCAAGGGATAGGCTAGGGTTCCATATAGGAGGGGATACCCATCCCATACCCCACGAAAGTTTTCCCACCCGTACCCATGCTCCAACAATTCACATCTCTGCCCTGAAAAAGTCCCCCGTCCTCCTGAACGCGTGAGGACTGTGTGGGTTTTTTTATCCTGATTTTTACCCAGGTTCCCAAGGCTTGCGCTGCAAACATTTTAAACCTGCCCTCGAAGAAGATGGTGGAAGGAGGGGCCCAGCAGCGCCCTTGACGACCCCCTCCTTCTGATCTCGGGAGGTGCTGCTTCCGTTTTCGTCGGGAGGGGGTTAGCCCAGGGGAACTTGCTCCGAAAACTCCACCAAACACTAGCCTAACACTAGCCCAGCAAGGAGGTGGCTGCCTGTCGAACACTACCAGAGTGTGACAGAGATGGGGACGGAAACGATTGCACGCAATGAGATAGATGTGTGGGAAATATGTAAATGGCAGGGTTATGAGTGGGAGAGCACGAGGACGACATGATGAGAGGGTAGCGGAGGGCGGAGAGATGGGTATTGCTAGGTGAGAGAGGAAGGGCAACGAGGGGGCGTTTTGGGGCGAACACGAGGGCGAAAGGATGGGTGATGGGAGGGGAGAGAATAACGGCGATGGGAGGGCGTTTCGGGCCGAACGCGAGGGTGACCGGATGAGTGATGGGAGGGAAGAGATATAAGGCGAAGGCGACGGTGAACGAAATGCAACAGACACGCGAACATGGGGGAAATGCACGATCGCGAGCATATGCGGCGTCAGCGCATCATCAAGCGCAATCGCTAGCGCAAGTGGAGGCGCAAGTGAGCGCAAGCGCAAGCACGCAGGCGCACTGACAGATGAAGCCCGAACCCATGAGGAGCTTAGGGAGTCAGTGTGAGCGCAAGAACATGTGGTGACTTTCAGGTGTTTCAAGAAATGTAATAACTAGTTGCTGGGCATTACAATCTGTTGTAAGGGAGACGGGAGAGGAGGAAGGGCGACGGGAGAGAAGGAAGGGCGAGCGACGGGAGAGAAAATCCGACGGGAGAGAAGGGCGACGGGAGAGAAGGGCGACGGGAGAGAGGGCGACGGGAGAGAAGGAAGGGCGACGGGAGAGGAAAGCCGACGGGAGAGAAGGAAGGGCGACGAGAGAGGAAAGCGACGGGAGAGGAAGGGCGACGGGAGAGGAAGGGCTACGGGAGAGAAGACGGGCGACGGGAGAGGACGGGTGCGGGATGGGACGGGAGAGATAGCGAGGCGACGGGATGGGAGGGGATGTTAGAAGACTTGCACTGTGAGATCCCCGATTGATCCTTGGGGGGTTACAGGCCTGTTAGTCTGGGGGGTTCTGGGTGAACTGACCCGCTACTGAAACAAGCCATTTTATCCCAATGGTCTAGTGGTTGGGATTCTGACATGGTATCAGAGCGGTCTCGGGTTCGAATCCCGGTGTATGCACATGCAGGCCGTTGCCGCTGTGCCGAGTCCTGGACCTCTCAGTATGGGGGGGTGTCAGAAGACTTGCACTCTGAGATCCCCGATTGATCCTTGGGGGGTTACAGGCCTGTTAGCCTGGGGGGTTCTGAGCGAACTGACCCGCTACTGAAACAAGCCCTTTTATCCCAATGGTCTAGTGGTTGGGATTCTGACAGGGGAGAGATAGCGAGGCGACGGGATGGGAGGGGAGAGATAGTGAGGCGATGGGGGATGGGAGGGGAGAGATAGCGAGGCGACGCGAACCGAGGGGAGGGGAGAGAGAGCGCCGCAACGGGCCGCGAGGGGAGTGATAGCGAGGGCGACGGGACGGCGTCGCCACGGACGGCGTGAGGATGATGGGATGGGGGGGGAGAACGTCGGGATGAGGGGGGGGGGGGGGGGGGGGGGGAGGGAAGAGTGACGCGGCGAGGGTGGTATCAGATGGGCCGTCGGTGAGGAGGTGGTTTTCTATTACGCGAGACAGGGAACTACCACCGCGCTACTTGGCTACGTATTACAACATCACGTGCTCGTAGTAAGTCGACAATCGACGCACTCGAATTTAATCACGTGACTATGATACAAACGCCTACACTCTCACCTATAGTTCTTGCTCTGCTATGTGAAAAAACCAGTGAATGAAAGACGTGGGAATCATCTAGTTAGGGCGCGTGTGATCTTTGGATTTTCGTCTAAGTTCGAACTCAAACCGCTTTGCACCGTGGCGAAAAATCTCTCAATTGTATCCTACCATGTAGAACCTTTCTAAAAGTTCGAAAAAATATCACGCGCGCCCTTATGAACCCAGGCCCAGCTTGAAATTGAAGTTGGGTATGGCGATGGAAAACCATCGCCAGGGATCGGTCGTGCGGATGCAGCACGCAAATATGCGACGCCTGACATGAGCATCGAAAATCGTTTTGGCGGGAGCCAATTTTTTCAGATTGGTGTGAGCCAATCAGATGAGTTCAACTCGCCTAACCGTTTTGTTTGGAACAGTGTTGTATCAGCCGAACTTATCGCAGCGATTTCAAGCTGGGACGGCCTTCACTATTTTATATTTCGGTTACACTTATTTGACTATTAAATGTATTGGATTTACCATGCACTGTTCGTGTACCGGGGGGGGGGGGGGACTTTTATTTTACACTTTCGAATCCCTCGCTTGGAGCATCACGAACGCGATGTCTGGGATGACACGCGTCGAGCGAGGAGGCACGCTGGCGGTTTGTCGCCCAAATTTGGCGAACCGCCCATCCACTTGACTGAACGGTCCCCCAACCTGGCCACGTCACTCTGCAGATGAGTAACAGGTTAATCCCCTCTTGAGACGAGGGTTTGAGAGAAGCTGGACGTGATGCGCGAGGGGAGTCACGTCCAGCAGCAAGCCGAGCAGATGGATTTTCTCTTCGTGGCTTCTGATCGTGTGCTTCAGTTCACACACAGATCTAGATGCTACTAAATACCATCAACAGACACGCTTCAATCATGCTTAGAGTAGCCCCGTAGAGCAGCACCATGGCGGCCTTTGAAAGCCCATGGCGTACGCGCCGTTCGAGCCTTGGCAGTTCGTCCCAGCAGCCGGCTATAGTGCTGATTACCGGTACTAGTCCGTCATCGCCAGCACCACCTGCACCTCCTGCGCCTCCTGCGCCTCCTGCACCTCATGCGCCTCCTGCAACAACCGTGCATCCTCTGCCTTTCATCGACTACCGTACGACTCCTTTGTTCGAACCCTGATGTCCCGAACCCGAGGACGAAGATGACGACACCACGGAGAACAACGATTAGGAGGCGCAAGAGGTGGGAGAATTCCCTGTCCCTTCAATCCCCGCGGATCTCGTCCACGACAAGAATGGCCCCAAGCGCCGTGTTGACGGTGTCTGAAAACCAACACTGGGGATGCCTGATTGATCCTAGGGAAGGGTTACAGGCTTGCGAGCCTGGGGGGTTGTGGGCGCACTCACCCGCTACACAAACAAGCCCTTTTATCCTGGTGGTTAGTGGCTGGGATTTTGACATGGTATCAGAGCGAAGGTCTCGGGTTCGAATCCCCATGTATGCACATGTTGGTGCTGCCGCTGTGCCGTGTCCTAGGGTATCCCTGTGCGGGGGGGTGTATGAAAACCAACACTAGAGATGCTTGATTGATCCTAGGGAAGGGTTACAGGCTTGCGAGTTTGGGGGGTTATGGACGCATTTACCCGCTACTTAACAAGCCCTTTTATCCCAGTGGTTAGTGGCTGGGATTCTGACAGACGGTGCGTCGTCCAGTCCTCGTGCGCGAAAAGCAAACCACCGTTGCACGGCGCGAACGATGGGAGAGAAGCAGGAGTGGCTCGCCCGTATGGAAGATGAGCAGCTCTCAGTACGACACACCGCTCGTCTGGCAGGGGTGCAGCCCGCGAGCGTCCGCCGATGGATCAAAGTAGCGGCGCGGATTAAGAAAGCAGATCCAAGCAGGCGCCGCCTAAGTGGGGGGGGAGGAAGGCTAAATACTCTGACATGGAGGCTGTTGTGTACAAAAATCATTCCAGCTTCCGCGGCCGTGGGCTAGCCGTCCCCATCCGACTCATCATGCAGTGGAGTCGCTCGTACATGAAGAATCACCGCCCGGATGTGAAGTGGATGGCGTCCGCGCGGTGGATGTTCCGCTTCCGCGCCCGCTACGGGCTGACCATCCGCGTAAAGACAAAGATGGGTCAGCAGCTTGCGAAAGGCAAGAGTACTGAAGGTCCGCGCCAGTCCACTATCTTTCTTGATGCGCTTAATGTTTTCTGCCGTTGCCCCATTAAAGTCTAACTAGTGTGTTGCCTTTGCTAATCACAGAATGCAAGCCGAAGTGCGAGGCGTTTTGGGCCTTCGTGCGGAAGAACCTCATCAAATGGGGCATTGACCCATGGAATATTGTCAACGCGGACCAAACGCCTGTCTTCTTGGAGATGCCGTGTGAGCGGACCCTTCACCACCGCGGGGAGAAGACGGTGCATGTCCGTAGCGCGGGCTACGAGAAGGAGAGGGTGACAGTGATGCTCGACATCCCTGCGGACGGCCGCAAGCTACCCGCGATGGTAAATTTCAAGCGGAAAACGATCCCGAAGATCCGTGTCCCTGCAGGTGAGTGGTGAACCATGTGTAACCCGCGTCGCGACTCACCAAGCAGTGCTAATCGCGCGTGTCTTTTACATATGGCAGGAGTTGTCATCAAGGCACAGGAGCGAGGCTGGATGGACTCCAAGCTCGTCAACGAGTGGGTGAACCAGATCTTCCTGCCTTTCGTCAAGCCTCCCGCTGGCATCCGTCGGTCCAACACCCTGATGGTCTTGTACTCGTACCGTGGTCACCTCACGGATCGTGTGCTCACGAACCTGAGGTGGAACCGGGTGATTCTGGCCATCATCCCCGGGGAGTGCACACCTCTGCTGCAGCCCCTGGATGTGAGCGTGAACCGCTCGTTCAAGGCGGTGCTGCGTCAACACTCAACGATTAGTTCGCCGAATTCGGCTTCAACACCTTCACGCCAGCAGGTGTTTAAGGCCCTATACCGTCGCAGCGTGTCTTTCCTACCATGTGGTTTCCATGCTATGCCTTAACCCTTTTACTGTGCACACTGCAACAAAATTAAGAAGCCCCCTGCGTAGATGGTCCTAAAGCAGATAGCAGCTGCCTGGGCGGCCGTGCCTGTGCACATCATCGAGCGTGCCTTTCTAACCACCGGCATCAGCAACGCCGTTGATGGTAAGCAAGACCACCTCATCCTCGCCCACAGGCGGGATGCGTGCGAGGTTGAGGTGGCCGATGACGTTCACACCGCTCCCGAGGTGGAGGAGTGGGTGAACCCCCTCTTCGCCACAGCCGTTGAGGACGAGGAGGCTGCTGTGGCGATGGATCACGAGGATTGCGGGGACATGCTGCCTGAGGAGGAGGAGGAGGAGGAGGAGGAGGAGGAGGAGGAGGAGGAGGAGGAGGAGGAGGAGGAGGAGGAGGAGGAGGAGGATGAGGAGGAGGACATGGAGGGGGGTGTGGAGGAGGACGAGGAGGAGGAGTGAGGTGTTGGGGGTGCTAGAGGAGGCACTACGAGAGTGGAATGCATGTCTAGTCCTGTTCATGCTCTGAATGTAACGATGAGTAACTTCTGGCTCTAACTGATTTAGAGGGTAGTATTTGACTTCATTGTTGTGCTTAACGGAATTATTGCGTTCGTAGTGAAACACCGTGTAGTAAACCAGACCATACAGGGATGGGGGGGGGGTCTTATAATTTCCATAGGCAAAAGGGGGGTCCTCACAAAACAGTACCAAAATAAGAGTCCTAGTACTCTATAGAGAGTCCCGGGGGACCCTTTTACCAGAAGAATACGGTACAAGCTGCTTGAGTTTCTATTGCCTGATTGTACACATGCAACTTCCCAGCTAACTTTGCAACAACACACTTGACATCTAAGGTACCGGCAGGCCCCCAGAAGTCAGAGAAATTTATATGATTTGGGTAAAAATCTCTGATATTTCAGCATTTTTTCTAAGTGAACTCTGAAAGTTCAGTTTTTTTTGGGGACCCAACTCTGAAGTTCGGATGACTTCACGTTTGCGCAAAGTAGCTCCAGGCATGAAAAAATTGCTGAAAGAATCAAAAAGATGTTGAATATAAGCTTTATGCTTATCACTTTGTTCTACTTTGATTCGACCTGGGCTTTTTTTTTTAGGCTACTCTGAAAAATCAGATTTTTTTTCTGGAGTGTACTCTGATCCTTCAGATTAGAAACGCGTACCGACTCTGATTCAATGTACCTGCGTTGGCGCCGACAACCGGGATTAGCGTTGGCATTTGACCGTTGTCCCATCAATCACGCTATATCTGGGACAACAGACAAGTTTTTGAGAGCGACGCCGCCTTGCGGCGCGGTATTCGCCTCGTAAGCATCAGCTTGCGTAATGATTGGTCCTTTTGGCAGATTTTGCCAACCCATCAAGGTGTCCACGAGTACCCACATTGCTGCATTACGCAACCACGAAACACTGCACACAGCAGTGCACGGCAACAGCGCCTCGTCGTTGCCGTGCATGCTAGGCAACCGCCCACCCGCAGGAGTTGGTGAGCATCAAATATATGTGAAAGATAGGAAACGAGAATGATGAAACTAGCAGCAATGTGGGTACAAGTAGGAAACCCTAAATGTGTTGTACCCCATATGGACTACCCCACTACAGCCTACACAGACTACAGCATATGAGTTTGACACACCCCCATAGGCAAAGTGGGGGAGAACAAGAGGTCACAAGACCAGTCAGGAAAAGCAAAGCAAGCTCAGGGTGGATCACGACGTCACCACGCATTCTGAGCACAAGCAAATGGCCACAAGGCCAGTTCACATGCAGAGTTATATAAAGGAGAATAAGCAATATAGTGATCACAACCTAGCAAGTGTAAGCATGCAGGTATATGTATAGAGATCACAGTACAAGCAAAGTCAAGAAGTGAGCAAGTGAGGCCAAGTGGGTACAAGGCCTAGAACAGTACAGAAACGCTGATGATCACAAGGCTGAAGTGCCTTGGTGAAGATATCAGCAGTGTTGGCCCGAGTGGCCACGTAAGCAAGACGAAGCTGACCACGCTGCTGCAACTCTCGAGCAAGGAAGTAGCACAGAGCGATGTGCTTCGTTCTGTGCTCCAGTCTGTGCTCCTGACACAAGGCAATCATGGCCTTATTGTCGACGTACAGAACTGGAGGAGAATGAGGCGGCTCTCCCAGGTCGGTCAGCAGGTAGGTGAGCCAGCGTAACTCCTGTGCAGCCATGGCCCCTGCGTACAGTTGGAGCTGAGAACAGAAGACGAGCGGGTAGACCGCCACGAAACAGAGCCGGAGCCAAGGCTGAAAGTGTAACCCTGTGACGACCGCTGCGTAGCCAAGTCGTCAACCCAGGAAGCGTCTGCGTGACCAGTGAGGGCAACTCGAGCCCGTCCTCCAATCACGAGCCCCATGCCTGACGTACTGCACAAGTAGCGCAACACCCTCTTAGCGGCATCCATGTGCTCCTTCCGGTGTCTCCCAGGAGCAACATAGCGTGCCAGGATGCTAAGAGGGTAGGCAAGGTCAGGTCGAGTGTAGGTCATCAGGTACATGAGGCAGCCCACAAGCTCTGGATACGGGCCACTCGGCTCTACGAACTCATCCGAAGGCAGAGCTGAGAGCGAGTGGCGAGTAGGCAGAGGAGTGGACTGTGGCGAGGAGTACGTGAAGCCGAAGCCCTAAAGGACCTGCTGCACCATGTGTGACTGAGTCAAGGTAATGGTGCGCTGTGCTCTGTCCCGGGTGATCTGCAAGCCAAGATAGCTACGCAGCTCACCCAGGTCTGTGCACGTGTGTCTCTTCTGCAGCTCCGACTTCACGTGGGCGAGTCCCTCAGTGTCAGCAGTAGCAAAGACCAAGTCGTCGACGTACACGAGAACGTAGAACGGCGGCAGAGAGGTGTAGGTGCGTAGAAACAGCGACGGGTCAGCAGTGGAAGGAGCAAACCCAAGAGCCGCAAGAGTCGTCCTCAGTGTGTCGTGCCACTCTCGGGGCGCCTGGCGGAGACCGTAGACTGGCCGCCGGAGGCTCCACTGGGTACCAGCAGGAAACGACCCAGTGAAGCCAGGTGGGCGGCGCAGCCAGATCTCCTCGTGCAGGCTGCCCTGTAGAAAGGCTGTGCTGAAGTCAAGAGAGTGAAGCTCGTAGTCACGCTGAGCGGCAACGTGCAGCAGTACCCGAAGAGTGGTCATCTTCGGGGTAGGGGAGAAGGTCTGGAAGAAGTCAACTCCCTCTCGCTGACTGAAGCCTCGTGCAACGTAACGCGCCTTGAAGACAGGCGGAGAACCCGGCGGCCGCTTCACCCTGAAAATCCACATGCCACTGACGATGTTTGCCCCAGGTGGGGGAACCTCGTCGACGTAGGTGCCTGTGGACTTCCAGGAAGCAATCTCTGCGTCCATGGCTGTCTGCCACTGAGAGGAGTAGGGACCCTCTATCGCCTCTGCGTAAGAGCGCGGGGTCGGGATGTCTGGTGCATCCGGGTCTCCCTCAGGTGCAAGCAGCATGGACACGAGATGAGATAAAGCAGCGGCAAAACACTCGAACTCCTCCTGCCTGTCCTCAAGGACGTCCGTGCCAAGAGCACACTCACCCCCGACGGACGGAGGACAGACAGACTCAAACTCAGCAACAAGACTAGCGGCGTAGTCTAGACGACAGGCGGCAACTAGGGCAGACGCAGCAGTGGACTCAAACGAAGGGTCAGTGACAACAGTAGCGAGAAGACGCGAAAAGTAGGACTGGCAGCACGAGCAAGGTCTGACGGTGGGTCAGCAACGTCAGGAAGAGAGGACGCAGGAGGAGACGGTAGAGGGACACGCTATGGAGCAGTGGAAGGACGAAGTGTCATCGGGTGCGTGCCTGGGACAGCAGGAGGACGCTGACGCGGAACATGACGACCAGTACGAACAGCGCGAATAGGCGACGCAGGACGAGACTCACGCTCACGACGCTCTGCAACTGCGACTGCGACTGGTCTGGCGGTGGATACAGTAAGGGAGGAGGAAGGTCAGTAGAAGGCGGGAGACCAAGAACCTGCTGAAGCAGTGGAACGAAGTACGGTCGCGGCCGCACAACGCCTCCAGAACCTGCACCGATAGCACCAGTACCCCCAGCTCCAGGGTCTCCAGCTCCAACGCCAGCAGTACCACCAGCTCCAGCGCCTCCAGCAGCTCCAGCTCCAGCAGCACCCCCAGCTCCAGCAGCTCCAATACCTCCAGCTCCAACTCCTTCAACACCACCACCTCCAGCAGCTCCAGTACCTCCAGTACGAGCACCTCCGGGACCAGTGGCTCCAGTAACTCCAGCAGCTCCAGTGCCAACGCCGGCAGCACCTCCAGCACCAGTAGCACCAGCAGCCCCAGCTCCAGGGGCTCCAGTGGCAGGCCCCCCAGCTCCAGCAGCTCCTCGCTGGAGTCTCCAGCGGCGAGCAAACCACTCGCGCAGCTGCGGTGGAGAGAGAGGCTCCCGCCGAGACGAGGCACCTGCAGGAACTCCAGCAGACTCAGCACCCCCAGTCTCAGCAACCGCAGGCTCAGTACCCTCAGGCTCAGCACCCCCAGGCTCAGCACCCCCAGGCTCAGCACCCTCAGACTCAGCAACCCCAGGCTCAGCACCCTCAGACTCAGCAACCCCAGGCTCAGCACCCCCAGACTCCACACGCTCAGGCTCAGCACCCCCAGGCTCCGCACACTCAGGCTCAGCACCCCCAGGCTCCGCACGCTCAGGCTCAGCACCCCCAGCAGCACCACCCCCAGTAGCAGCACCAGAGTCAACCGCTACCTCGACAGGCTCGCCAGCGTCTACCTGAGACACACCTGAGGGTGCAGGAACCTGAGGGGGGAGGGGGTCTACCGGAGGAGGACCTGGTGCAAGGAAGAGCGGCGGGGGGGGGAGAGGGGCAGTGCGGTAGGGGAAGAGACGGTAAAAGGGAACCGACTCGTCGAACGTGGCGTCCTGAGAGGGCAGGACACGGCGCAAGGTGGGGTGGTAAAACTGCCAGCCAGGCGCGTCAGGGACAAAGCCAAGGAAGACGCAGGGAATAGCGCGGGCGGAGAGCTTGTCCGCGGTAGTATCGCGGACAAAGGCACGAGAACCCCAGACTCGGAACACCGACGCATCGCCAACCTTCCCCGTCCACCGCAGGGTGGGCGAGGTCTCCGGGAAGGAGACACGGGGCCAGAGGTTGAGCTGATGCGCAGCGTATCGGACCGCAAACGACCACAGAAAATGGGGGGCAGCCGCATGGACCATGGAGGTACGAGCGACCTCCATGACTAAGCCAATGCGGCGCTCAGCAACCCCATTCTGCTGCGGTGAGGCCGGGAGCGTGAACGTCTGGCGAATGCCCTCCCCACGACAAAAGTCCCGCAGAAAGTCAGAGGCAAACTCACCACCTCTGTCAGAGTGCAGACGCAGGACGGGAAAGTCTGTCTCGAACCGCTCGCAGAGCTGGAGACGGGCAGCGCGGATCCAAGGGAT